AGTGTAACTTCTCAAACCTGATAACTGTTACATCAATGCACCTTTGAAACATCCTCCTAATCTACTTGGGGGGGTCACATGTTTTCTGAATAGATAATTTCTGAATGGGTTTATAATCTCCTTTCATAAGACATAAAAAGATATAAAGATAATTTATATAAATACCTAATTTTTATGGATAAAGAATGAATTACTGAGGCCAATAGGAAAAGGGGAACAGGTACTAGAGAAAAGGTTAGATCAAAAAGAATTAACCTAGAAGGTAACACCCACGCACAGGAAATCAATGTGAGTCAATGCCCTGTATAGCTATCCTTATCTCAACCAGCAAAAACTCTTGTTCCTTCCTATTATTGCTTATACTCTCTCTACAACAAAATTAGAAATAAGGGCAAAATAGTTTCTGCTGGGTATTGGGGGGGGAGAGGGAGGGGGCGGAGTGGGTGGTAAGGGAGGGGGTGGGGGCAGTGGGGAGAAATGAACCAATCCTTGTATGCACATATGAATAATAAAAGAAAAATGAAAAAAAAAGAATGAATTATATCATATTCTAGAGAGAAAATATTACATGGAATAACATCTACATTTTGGAGATTTTTAAAAATAATGTTGCTAAATAATACTGCTACTAAAATTTGTTTACAGCATGAATGGAATTAGGCCAGTGGAGTTCTTAGTTTCTCCCATGGCTCTACAGGCAAAAGCATGCTGCAGGTCTTTTAAGAGTAATCATGAGATGCAACAAACATAACACAATGTGATTAAATAATAACTATGTGATTCTTATTTTGAAAGTTGGCTGTCTTTTCCATTCTCAATTAAATAATAAATAACTGGTATTCTATCTATATAAATAATAAGAAAAATAATTTGGTAGAGAATTTTAATTTACTTTCATTATTGATTGATTGTTCTATCTAACTGTACTATTTTTGTGTCAATCAAGTTTTAGTAGAAATTATGGAACATCACAGAGCCAATAAGAAAAGAAACCTGCAACTATGCTATAGGGTGCCAGATCATCTTACCAGAAACCCTTACCAGAAACCTTTTATATTATTTCTTTAGCCTTCTTAATGAACACTTTCTGTACAAACACCAAGTGGTTTGGAAGATCAGCTGTGAGATTATATTCAAAGGAACCCATCTGCCAAACAAAACCAAAATATTAGAGTAATACTACTGAATATACTAGCTTTATACTTTTTTCTTACAAATTACCTAAAACTCTAAGGAAAAAGAGATAAATATCTACATACTATTTGAGAACAATACATTAGAAAATGGTTTTAAACATTCAGACTCCCTAATATTTTTTTGGTCTGACACTGATATAGCCCATTCCCCAAATATTGTACACTGTTTTTATAAATGCTAGTAATAAGATCTCAGTGTCTTTTGAAAACAAAAATTATACTTTAAATACATAATCTTCCAGTTTCAAAATGAAAATTTTGTCTAGAATATAATTTATTATTAATAATCACTTTTGTCCACTTAAAACCATAAACATCATTACAAGTAAAATTAAATTTATTCATTGAACTGTTAACTGACCATCTATATGTAGTTTTAGATGCTAAGGACAGAGCTATTAAAAGAAAAGAAAACAAGATTCTGGATCTCAGGACTACAGTTGAGTGAATTAGAAAACCAGAGATTCGTAGCCTATTTTGTATAATAGTATGCTTAGTGTAAGGTGTTAATTTCTGAAAAGAATTAATTAATAAACAGGTAAAATAGAAAGCAGCCCACAAATGAATTTTGAGAATTACAGGAAAGACAAATTTCAGCACCCTTATGAGTAAGGTAAATGCTTCATCAGGTGTCATATTGATAGGGTTCATATTTTCATTAAAATTTAAACAGCAATAGCCTAAGCTACATGGTGAGATCCCAAATCAAATGATGAAAAACTTTAAAAAGTAAAAATATATAAAGTAATATTGGAAAAGTGTGAAATAGAAGCTAAGTATTTAAAGTATTTCTAAGTATTTAAAGAGCCCCATTTTGATATCATGTTTGAAAAGAGTACACTTACCCAAGTTTATACCCTATGCTTTAAGTATTTTTTGTATTGTTTCTGTTTCACCCACACTGATAATATACGAGCAAGAGAGCTATTGAATTACATTTGATTAGACAGATCTAATCATGATATCAGATCTGTCAGATATCTAATCAATATCCATGCCAGATTGATCTCCAAGCTTACATGACTTCTATTTCCTTCAGCATCTCTGCTCAGAATGTTTTCTGTCAACATTCCCAGCCTTCTGCAATCCTCAGAAGTATTCTGTATAGTAACACTCTCCTTGTCTCACATCCCTCACCAATGCACACACAGAAATGCAGAGACAGGTTGTCTAGATATACACTAATAGAGACAGAGACAAGGGGAAAAGTACACATATACAGAAGCACACATGTCCACACAGAGACGTGCATGCACACATGGGTACACTTGTGCATACTCAGAAACATCCACAATACCAATCACCCACCTACATATACACCTACATATACTCTCACAGAACCATACATGCATGTATACAACTACTAGCCTATTCACAATAGCTCCTTTATGGAGATAAGCACATGCAGAGAGAGCACATGGAAAGGAACGCCAGCCGCAGACAGGGCCACTATCCAGTTCAACAAAGGCATATTCCTAACAGGGCCATATGCCCTCATAGAGAGACAAATATTCTTCCAATGACAGACACTTCTTCAAAGGCATTTAGCACACATGCATGTGTACATACACACACAAGCCTTCTTTAAGAAATCATTTGAGGATGCCTGCATTGACTTTCTAGGAACTGAGCAGAGCAGATAAATAAGCAATCGAAAAGGTAGAGAGAGGGATGCCTGTAATATCATTTACAGATGGTATAACCTAAGGTAAGCATTTTAACCACTCTGAGACTTTTTCTCAACTATAAATCAGAACACCTCCACTTACCTGTAGGATTGCTGTGCACAACAAATACTTGTTTCCTTCTCTTTGCAGATCAAATTATTACTAGTTATATAAATTAAAGTACAATTAGCTCTCTGTATCCATGGTTCTGTATCCAAGAATTCACCCACCAACAGATTGAAAATACTCAGGAAAAAAAAACTGTGCCTGCCAACAACAAATGTTGGCAAGGATACAGGGAAAAAGGACACCCCTGCACACTGCTGGTAGGAATGTAAGCTAGTACAACCAGAATGGAAAATATGGAGGCTTCTTTAAAAACTAAAAAAAGATCTGCCAAATGATCCAGCAATCCCACTCCTAGGAATATACCCAAAGGAATGTGACTCAGGTTACTACAAAGGCATTTGCACACCCATGTTTATTGTAGCACTAGGCACAACAGCCAAGCTATGGAACCAGCCAAGATGCTCCACTACTGAGAATGGATTAAGATAATGTATTATTTATACACAATGGAATTTTATTCAGCCACAAAGAAGAATGAACTTTTGTCATTCACAAGAAAATGGATGGAACTGGAGAAAATCATCTTAAGCGAAGTTAGGCTCAGAAAGCTAAAAATTGCATGTTCTCCTTCATATGTGGATTATAGACCTTAAACAAATTCAGTAATATTATTAGACATGGGTCACACACTAAGAGGAGATGGTGCACAGGAGGGATAGGGAAAGGGAAGGAAACAAAAAACTTGAATGTAGCTGATATGCTTACTGGATAAGAGCAAATATTGTAATCTTAAACTGGCAGAGGCCACTATGGGACAACTAAGAATTAATGAAGAAGTCTGATAGAGATGAACCAATTTGCATTGTAATACATGTATGAATGGAAACAACACAAGGAATCTCCCTGTATAAGCTATCTTCATCTCAAACTAGTGAAAATGCTATGGCTTTCTTTTTATTTTATGCTTTTTTCTTCAACAAAATCAGAACAAGAGGGTGGAACAGGTTCTGCCTGGAAGTGGTGGGGTGGGAGGGCAAGGGAGAAGGTGGCCTATATAATGTATATACAAGTAAGTAATTATAAAAATGATAAAATAAAAATTTCAAAAACTGCACCTTTACTAAACCTGTGCAGACTTTTTTCCTATTTATTCTTTAAATAACACAGGACAATAAATATTTATACATTTATATTGTATTAGGTATTATAAGTAATCTAGACATTATTTAGTATAAAGCATACAGAAAAAGGTAAATAGGTTTCATACTAGTATTGCACCATTTTATATAAGGAACTTGAACATCCTCAAGTTTTGGTATCCTGAATCCAGTCTCCTGAAGAGGAGTGTCCTGAAGCCAGTCCACTGAGCATAGTGATGGTCAGTGTTTGTGCATGTGAGTAACACTTTTTAAACAATCTTTCACTGTAGAATGTGATGTAATGTAACATATTATTGTAATAATAGAAACAGTGCATGACTACTGAATGCTTACTGTGTCCATGCACTATTCTAGGTACTTTGCATAACCTCATTTAATACTCACAGCAACTTTAGCAGTTGGAGCCCAAGATTGTTCAAATAGCAAAGAAAAAAAAAACTGAAACCAAAGTTTCTAAATATGGGCCCTTAACCACAAAATAAAATTATTTATTACTTCTAATTATGCAATGACTACTTCAAAGCAAAATTTAAGTTACTAATTAGTAAAAATAGAAATTTATCAAAATATTCCTGTTTCTTTGCATTCTATTAAAAACTGATCAATCTTCAAAGATAAAACACAGCATTAAAATTATGACATGCTTGTGACCTATTTCTCCCTAAAATTTTTCTCTTCAGGGAATTTTGAAAAGCTTTTAAGTTTCATTCATTCTGATTATATCAGGAAACAAACTGACAATGAACAGCATGAGAAATGTATAATCAATTAGCTAATTTCAAAGTCATCTCAACGTTAATATTATTCCATCCATGAAAGGAGGAATTATCCCCATATTCCTTATTACCTAATCTGGAAGTATTCACATAATGGCCCTCCTCCCAAAAATATATCTGTTAACAAAATACCTAATAGATAAAAGCTGCAAACATAGAAGGCCCAGTCTTCAGCAGTGAAATTCATGGGGAAACTGTAAATGAATGTTGTAGAATCACTCAGTTCTGACTTTTTTTCTAAAAAGAAATTAGAGAAGAGATAGTAATTTAATTAGGAAATTAGGACAGATGGTATTTGTAATTTTTAAAAAGCTAAGGTACAGAGCTGCTTTCCAGGTTTTGTAATAGTTAACATCAATGTTCAATACAAATACAAAACAGTCTACTCACCTTTTGAAAACTGTTCAGATGTTTTTATTTATTTAATAATTACTTATTGGTAAATAAATTGATCTTTCATTAATTACCAAATATCTTACTAATTGTTAACTCTTTGTGATCTAACAAATTTTAAAAGCACTAGAACATATTAGGCTAAAACTTCTAAGGAATAAAATAACAGAATGGAATATGCTTTATTACCATCCCTCTCCTTCTTAGTGTAAGAATTCCTTCTGGGTAAGAAAGATACATGACTACGTATTCATATCCATGTTAATTCAATTATTATTAATTGATTCATCACATGTCAAGAGCTAACAGGTTCAGCTATAATATTGTTTTATATAATAATGGCTTAAAGTCAACTATCTTAAAAACAAAATAAAGTTTTTTCATGGATACCTAATTTGCCTTTAGCCAAGAACCACCTATAGCAAATAAGTAATTTCATATTCTAGGGAATATTTTGCAACAAATTCTATGGTAAACAAGTTAGATATTTCATTTTGTTTTCTTTTTTCAAAGGACTATATTGAGCAACTGATGAACCTGTGTTATCCTGGCTAAAATGATACAAACCCAGCTCTATGGCATGGAATCTGGATATTTGAATACTCCTCTTTTCTTCTCATAGAACAATTCTAAAACTTTCTAAGGAAAATTGTGGCCCTACCAGAGAATAGTTCTTAGTTCATCTCCTTGGAAAGCACATGTCAAGAAATGTTAGCCATTGGTAAGACCTGCTTGGTTAATTGCCAAAGCATATGTACCTGTCCTTAGGAAGAAACAATATCTAAACTATAAGGTCTTATTAGTGAATAGCCCATTATTATAACATTATATACTAAATGTACTAATTATACAACCTAATAATATTGAATTTTTGTCAAGAGCTTTGTTTGTGGCCTATTCATCTATGTATTTTGTTTCAAATTCTGTCCCCAAATCATGTAAGACTAATAATATACTTAGATCAAGCTATATATTCATGTATTGCTATTTGGTATGCCTTTATTTTTCACAGTGTGACTGTGAGCATGTTGTTATGAATACAATCCTTCTTAGCTGGGAATTTCCTTAAAAGGCACCTGGAATATATAAAACAAGCCCACAGCTAACATTAACTCATGGTGGAAAATTAGATCTTTTTCCTCAAAAATCCAGCGGAAAGCAAGGATGCCTACTCTCAAAACTTCTATTTAACATAGGATCAGAAGTCCTAACTAGTGCAATGAGATAACAGAAAGACAAAAATGGCATCCAAATAGGAGAAAGAAAGAAGTGAAAGTATTATTGTTCTTTGAGGAACATGGTCTTATGGACAAACAACCGTACATATGCCAAAAGAAAAACTGATAAACAAATTCAGTAAAGACACAGCATTAAAAAACAACATATGTAAATAAGTAGCTTATTTTCATAATAAAAGCAAATCTTTAGGAGAACAATCCTATGTAAGATAGCTATCAAAAACACTTAAGAATAAATTTTGTCAAGGAGGTGAAAGACTTGTACACTGAAAACTAAAACATCAATGAAAGAAGTTAAAGACTAAGTGAAAATAGAGCACATTTCTGTGAATTAGAACAGTTTAGTATTTCCTAGTAAAACTGAAGGTGCACTTTCCCTACACCTAAATTGCACCACTTAAATAAGTATCCTTCAGAAACTCTTAAACTGTGAATCAGAAAATCTGCAATAGAATATTCATAGTTGCACACAATTTGGCTCTAAGGAGCCAAAGATCCATCAATAATAAAGTAGATCAGTAAGTTCTGACATAATAATTTAATGAACAGCTATATTTCCGTAAAAAATAAAGAAGATAGATGAAAAAACATGGATGAATCACTCAAAAGATCTAGTAAAACTGTTAGTCTGATTCCATATAAATAAGATTCAAAATTAGAAAAAGCAAACTTTATTTATGAGTATAAACATAAATAAGAGTATAAAGGAAAGCAAAGCAATGGGTAAGACAAACTTTGTAAAAGTGGCTAAACCACAAGTAGTCATAGGACTTCCTTGAAGGAGGCTTGAAAGTACTAGCAATGTTCTAATTTTTAGGTCATGTAACAGATTAGTAAGGTCATGATACTTAATTATCCCTTATAGTGTGTGTATGTGATTTATACACTTTTGGATATGTGATACATTTCACAATAAACACTTAAAAGGCTAAATCTTTTTGTATATGATACATAAAGTTCACAAAACCATATAGAAATAGCTATTCTGAAGAAATCAAATTGCCTGTGATTTAAGCTAAATGTACTCAATGTGAAAACAAACCAAGTAATTGAAACTATGAAGACTTAACAAGTGTAGAACCTGGTTGATTCATTCAATTTTCATTTCAATTGGAGAAATGGCCTAAAAACTGAGTAGCTGTGAACGGTTCAAAACAGCATCCATTCTAAACTTATTCTAGGAGATTTGGACTTGACTAAAGAACATATTAATGAAATCATTTGGTCAAAATTATTTGAATTTTTTATGTAATATTTATAAAACCAAATTTACCTTTTCATCAAAATATTACTTTCTCCTCAAAATTATATAAATTTTAAGAGGCTGGGTTTAAAATTTGATGTTACCTGTCATTCCATGACTTCTGGTTCTTCCCATCCTATATTCTGCTTTCAGAGATGGTGAAAGTGCTGCTCCAATAGCAATCCCATCTAACATGGCACTTCTTTTTTCTAAGCCTTCTGGTAATGGAGGAAATTCATTTTTTTCAATAGAAGAAGTTTGATTAACACTTATTGGTGTCTTTTCAGAAGGTATCAGGTTGCAATATCTTCTTTCACAGACTGTGGGCTATGAATCAAAAAAGATAATTTTTAAATACCACAATAACAGCTACTACTTTATCGAATAAAATTGCCAGAATAAATTTTCATAAAATTACTTAGTGACAAATACCTATTGAAAAATGATGGTCTAGAAAGCAAAGAGGAAGTAGTAGTAACAACATTGAGACCTGGAATTTTACACTTCAGAGGTGATTCATATCATTAATGCAGAACTTGAATTGAAACTCAGATTTGTCTCATTACATATTCTATCACTTTCCCATTATTCACTCTAACATTGATTGTAATATTATTCCTACTACTGACACTACTACCATTTAATAACAACACCAGCACCAACAATAATTATTTGAGCGCCAGGGACTGTTCTTTGTGTTTTATCTCATTCATTTTTCCTACAAAATTCTTGTGAACTGTTGTCTACACTTTGTAAATCCTTGGGTGCTGATTTCTAGACTTTGCAATAATGAACCATAGGTAGAAAGTGGTGAAACTAGGGTTTGAGCCTAATCATTCAAACTCCAGAATCTGACATTTAAACTATGAACCCTATTGACAATACAACAAGGAAAAATGACTTAAGCACATTTTAAAACTAAGATTTATGTACACATTCTGGACCCCATATAATACTCACATAAGAAATGTGTTGAAATTTTTACTACTCAGTCAACTTCAGACACAATTTATTATTGTGTCTGTACTAAAGATCTAGGGAAAACAACTGGAGGGGAAAATTACTGACTTCCTATACAATCAAAAGACACAATAATTTTGTCTCAATTTATAGACTATAGAAAAGGAAACATAATGACATTTTTATGTTTTATATATTTTTGTTATGAGTTTTGGAGACCAGGAATAAGGCAAAGCATTGGAGATACAACTAACAGTGACTATGAACACAAGCAATAAAGGTTAATGTGGGAAGTTCTAATTTATTGTCCTTTAAAATACTTATGTGGTATTATATCCAATCAGGAATCATATGCAACAATTTCATAGTAGATGATAGCACAAAACCATGCATGGGACATAAATGAACACTATAGTTTCTTAAACTTATGCACCATAAATTTCAATGAACTCAAAGTAAATAAGAATTGACAGTTCTAGAATTCCTCAGTTTGCTTTTGATTAGCACCTTCTCGGTTGTCCACAAATTTCTAGGCTCTTTCAAGCTTTATTTATGTAACATGGAACATTGACAATGGCCTTTCTGAGATAGTACTTTGATGTGATGACGTCCAATATGATTCTCCCATGAGCATGTCTACTCTCCACCTGCTTCTTGTACATAATGCTCAGTATTTACAAGTAACAATTCATTTTCCTTCAAACTTTTGCTGTCACAAAAAAGAATATCCTAAGGTATTATTGAGAATCATAGAATATAAACAGAGAAAATAGCACATGCTACAGAAAGCTGTGTAGATTGGTTTACGTAACCGCTGAGACCGTCACACCATTAGGATATGCAAGGTGGCAGGGTGCTGCCCCTGATGAATGGATTAAGGAAGTGTGGTATTTACATATAATGGAATTTTATTCAGCCACAAAGAAGAATGAAATTTTGTCATTCATCATCTTAAGGGAACTTAGCCAGGTTCAGAAGGACAAAAGCTGCATGTTTTCTCACATATGTAGAATATAGACCTAACACAAACAATATCATGAAAAACAGGTTACACTGAGGAAAGGTCACATATAAGGGAGAGAGGGTAAAAGAAGGAAGTTAAGAAGGTGAATATGGTTGATGTACTCTCTATACAAGAATGAACATAGAATTTTAAATTCTGTTGAAATCACCCTAAGATTGGAACTGAGGCAGAAAGAAGAAAAATAGAGGAGATGGATCAGTTTGGGTTATAATGCACATGTGCATGGAAAGATACAAGGAAACTCCCTCTATAGATATCTTAAACAAATGATAATGTCAATGTTTTCCTTTTTCAAAGTTGAAGAACTGAAGAAAGGTGGAGCAGGTCCTGTGTGGATGGGTGTGGCTGGTACCAGTTGTGGTGGGGAGGAGGTGGGGAAAGGGTGTGGGAGGGTGAATATAGTGTGAATACTGTGTGCACATGTATGTAAATGGAAAAGTAATACTTGCTGAAACCATTACAGGAATGAGGGGAGGTAGAAATAACGGATAATGATGGAGGGGGTGAAATCAAGTATGATCTATTTGATATATAATATGATATATTTGATATGTGGTTAGAACTTCTGTAAATGCCACAATGTACCCCTAGCACAGCAATAAAAACATAGACATATGTATCACTTCTTCTCTGAAAAATGTGTGGCAGGGTGCTGAGGAATGCTGATCTGATAGCTCCTACTTTGAACACGGCAGCATTGTCTTCATCCCTTTCTGGGCACTGTAGAGGATTTGGGGCTTGGCAATGCTACATTTCACTAAAGTTCTATCAATAGAGAAGGGGGATTCATTAAAATATATCCAAATAAGGAAAATTGGGGAGAAAGTATTGAGAATAACAGAAATCCTCTTAAAAGACAAAGGCTTTCATTACATATTTATGAAATATTTTCTAAAAATACTGAAATATACTTATTTTACTCTTCATTGAATAGCATAGTTTTGTTTAAGAGGAAGAGTTTATCAGAAAACACAAGAGTGCATTCACATGTAAGTTCAAATGTGTCACTTGGAAGTAAAAGCCTAAATACTGACAAGTCAATCACTACACACACACACACACACACACACACACACACACACACACACTTCTGTTTGATTTTTTTCCCAATTCACAACTCATCTTTTCTTTTCCAACTTGTTTTAGGGATCTGCACAACCATCAAGAGCAAGATAGAGAGAGAGAGACACTGAATACTAAAAGAAAACATCCTTACTCTACTACTTAAAATACAATCAAAGAAAAAAAACCTACTCTAACAATCATCTTTTATGCTAAAAGAAACTGAATGGAGGCTGGCCTGCTTTAAAAAGTCCTACGGCATGAACTCCATTAGTGAGAGAAAATGGGAAAAGGGCCTTGTCTGATTAGGCTCTGTGGTTGTTGTAACTGAGGTCCCAGTGGATCTAAGAGAACCTTGGGAGATGGACTACATTGTCAGTGAATCCTTTAGTCAGTCTTCTACAACATCTGCAATGAACGTTTCATGTGTATTTCAGGCATACCTGCCATGCTACAATTTTTATACTCAGCATTTTATAGAGATTTTGAGTACTTGTTTTTTGTATACAGTGGTTACATATACATTATATGCTGTGTGATCTAGACTAGTTGATAACTCTCTTCAAGAACCATAATAAAATATGAATAGGCAACTCCTATTGGTAGTCTGCAAAGTATTTAATTCTCCAGTGCAGGTCTCATTACATCGTTTCCATGTGCAGTTTGACAAGAGTATCCTCTACAGTTTCCACTTTAGTGTGACCAGTGTAGGACCATCATGTTGCTCAACTCTAAGAATCCACTGTCTTACAGCAAAGGTTACTAATTCTTACCTAAGAACAGTAGCCTTGCTCATTATGAAGAGGACATATATCAGTTCTTTACTACTCAATGAAAATATAAATTGAAAACAGGAACTGCATTTCTCCCTTACCTTCCATATCTGTCTCACTGTTTGCCTTTATACCCTGTATTTCAAAGTGTACCTAAATAATAGCTTGATTATATAAGCATCTATGCAATATTGGATTCTCAATTTAAACCAAAATTCAGAATGAAAAGCTAATAAGGTTGTTTGCTATACTGATGGAGATTCTACTAAAATATTTCTAGGTGAAATTGTGATTCTAAGTACTTCAGGGACCTGTCATACACAACACTAGAGGACCCCATTCAAACTATAATCTAAATAAATTATGTCCACCATGTCAAATGTCATTCCTCAAACTTGGACAGCATAGCATTCTTACAGCAATCATTTTCTCTATATCTAGTTCTCCTCCACTCCACTGACTTGAGCAAGCAGTCTCAAGTTTCAGAGGCAGGAAGAAGGAGTAGACTTAATTTATTCAACTTGGCATATACTATCTGCCTCAATTCAGTTTTCCCTGAAAACCTATGTAACAGGGATATGTAGTACAGCGTTCACATGTTACTTAGTAAAGAACTAAAAATCATTGGCTTTTTTCTCATTTGGCAATTGCAATTAAATGTTTACCTTTCTCAGCAGAAAACCCTAAAATTGAGAGTACAGTCTATAAGTGATATCATGACAAGGACCATGCAACTGTTGATTAGATGTGACCTTGAACCAGTAGAAATATTCTCTCTAAAGAATTGGTCATTTTTACTGTCTATTCAGAGAATTCAGTTAATGCAAATGAATAAAAGAAAAAAATAAATCTCTAGCTACTATGATTTCTGAAGCAGAAGTAAATGAGATTTTGGGCATGCTAAGATAAACTTAATGTGAAAAGAGTTCAGAAAAAATTCAATTTATAATTTAATATTAGTGCATTAAATTTCACTACTTTCAGTTGGCTGATAAAGTGAAATAATACATCATTATTATCCTCAAAAGTACTTTTTTATTTTTTAAACATTTATTAGCCTATATTAGTTGTGCAAGGAGATTTCATTGTGACATTTCCATATATGCTTACAATGTATCTTTAATAGATTCATCCTCTCCATTATTCTCCCTCATCCTCCTCCCGCTACTTAAAAAGTTTTCAACAGGTTTCATTGTTCTATTTTCATACAAGTATATAAAGTTCTTTGACCATGTTCATCTTCTTTGACCCTTACCATTCACCCTCCCCCACCCATTAATAATAATGGGACCTTGTTTACATTGCTATTCTTCATTTTTTGTAACTATTCACTGTTCAAAGGGGTTTCACCATGGTATTTCTATGAATATAAAGTATTTTAATCAGATTAATTCCCTCTATTACTCTCCCTACCCTTTCCCTCCTATCCCCTATTATTCAACAACTCAAATAAAAGCTTTTAATTTATAATGTTTGTCCATGGCCTGTTATCAATATGCAATGAAACA